AAACATTTGCCCATTTCGGCTGCTAATTGAAAACATTTAGCAGGGTTTAAAACGTCTGCAAACAACACGGTACATTTAAACTGGTTTATCCAGTTTAGCCAAAGGCAAAGAGTATGGCTTTAATAAAAATACCCTATCCTGCTACTGTTCTGTGCACAAATGTACACAAAACACTAATAGTACTCCCTAAAAACCGCCGTAACTCCAGCCTAGTCCCAGGCCTCTCATTGCGCGTGTTTTATATTTCCGTCACTTCACCGAATGAAACGCGCGCGAGAGGCCTAATACAAAATATTTTCTAATCTTAACGGCCCGTTTAATGTTGTGAACTTGAAATTAGAATTGTTATTAAAGTAAATGTTTGCAATTTACAACAGTAACTGCATGGTCATTGCATTTATCGATTGTTTCAGGTAGGTTTACGATAAAACTGCAATAAATAGTACCAATTGTACCATTTCTTCGCTTATGTATGTTTTACTATTGCCCCGCTAATGGTTCTTACCAATCGTGGTTTTGAATTCGTTCCTCAACAATTTCAGCATCCGTCGACAACAATTGTGAAAGGTGCTAGCATGGTTCTGAAGGCGATAATCGAAGTACGTTTTATTCATTCATTCCTCCATTGAGAATTTTCTGCTTTTGACAAACGTCATTTAAAACGTTCTGCATTATTTTAGCAGTGATGAATTTACATATTAGTTCAGTTGATATTTAAGAGGTTTTAAAGGGTCTTAATTTCGAGAGGTATTATACACACTTCAAATTCAAGCCAGGAACAGTTGATGGAAAAATGAGTCAACTATAGATCCTCCGGCAGGAATCGCTTTTGCGATGCCGGTGCAATGCTCTTGTCACTGAGAACGTATAGTTGACTCATTTTTCCATCAACTGTTCCTGGCTTGAATTTGAAGTGTGTATAATAATACCACTCGAAATTAAGACCCTTTAAAACCCGAATTAGTGTGATATATTAACAAATTGTTGCAGATGTATAGCTTCGATTTCATCCGGAGAACCTGAGTTGTATTTTAGCAACATTCTTAGATTCATCTTAAAACTTGTGATTTTATAATCCTCTATATACTAGCCAACTGTAAATAGTTCAATTGAGACTAACAAGCATACTCCATAAGTAATTTATAATCTTTATTGTTGGCATGTAGGCAATTGAGTGGACATCTTGTGGCTTTCTGGACAACTGGTCATCCAACAGCAATGGCATTACTTGTGAGAATAATGTTCGTATTAAAGTAGTTATAGCTTTTAATGTCTAAAATATACAATAAAGTTTAAATGCGAGATTTCCCGTTCGTAAGTTTTAGTTCATAAACAATTATGTAATAAATTTGAATACGATTTTCACAGCCTGCTGGTTTGCTCTATTACCTTGAGAGCCCTGACGAGGTAGGAAATTTTTGAGAATTTTTTGCGAGGGCCATTATTTACATAAACCCATTGCAGTGATTCTGATTCAATCATAATTGTGACTAAGTGGTATCAACTGCTTTGGTAACTAAACTCCATCATTCATCCTTAAACTGTGCCAACTGCTCCACTGACGAAATAATTAAAAAGTAGTTCATTCAGAAGTGTATAACCTTTTTGTAAAGAAACAATTTTGTTGGAAAGTTTTTATCTTTCCTTCAGCCACCAGAGACTAAAGAAGATCATTTATCAATTCGTGACAATGTAAAGCTTGCAGAGTACGTTTTAAGGCAATAATCGTGTTCCAAAATTTCATAATGCATGCTTGTATGTACGTATAAGCCTGTTATTTCACGTGCTATACTTGTCGGTTAGAGCTCTGGAAAAGCGAGAGGAACGTCAAGGAATCAACTTGAAGGATATCTCTCGCATTGGAGGACAAAAATAGGATTCAAATCCAGGAAAGATGTGAGAATTTAAATCCAGTTGTTTTATTACACGTAAGTGTTCATATTAAGAAAATGGGAAAATGTTCTAGTCGTTTGAAAGATTAAAAAGCAATGGTATTTAAACGGATCTTTTTTACAGATTCAGTCAAGATCTGAAAGCGTACAACCTGATTTGGAATTACAAGGTGCGTCTCGAAGTTAAGGTTAGTTTCCGTTGAAAATATAGGAAATGAAAAGGCAATGGAGGATTTCCTGTCGCTATGAGTATAACAAGACAAATTCAATAGTCCTGACCTCTTTCTCTAAACTGTTCTCGTAAAAGAGTTTGAAACAATTTCTTTTGTTTTCAATGTGACAGACGCGAGAGGAACTTCTGGGGCTCTCGAATCTGAGATGCGCGCATTTGCAATGGAAAAAGATCTGAGTGGAAACTACGTTGTTTTTTGGAATCACCTTTAGTTTGAAGTCCTGTATGAATGGTTAGCTGATCAACTGAAAATAGGTTAGTGATAATCCTTATACTCCTCTAGCTTTTTAACAGTTCTTCTTAAAGCGCCCCCCCTATCCCTCGATAGCAATCAAACTCAGTAACGTATCTCTCCTATCAGGCGACTATTATTTGAGAGTCTTGTTGGAACAAAACGACGGGGAGACGCCGATAACAAATGTGTGAGTCCACGACATTTATCTATCAGGATTTGCAAATATTCAAACTACTGTCTTGCTTCCCGCTGCATAAAAACGATTCCAGATACTTAATATATAATATACCTCAGCGTCCTATTCTCTATATTGCTGCACAGTTTACAAAATGTTATTTGTCCTGCAGTATGTAGTAGAGAAGTATAGAATCATGGAAGAAACAATTCACGATTCGATCGACTTTTCTATTTTGTTTTCAGGCTCGAGTTGTTTAACGATCTGTACCACAGATTCCGATTGACAACTAAACCAACTATGAAAGCAATGTGCCTTCAGGTGAGGATGTCGTTTAGCAAGAGTCTAGCCATGTGTAGACTTCGAAGAATGCATGAAACAAGTTGGAATATTTTATTCACAGGCGATGACTAAAGTTTTTGGAAAATGTCAGGAAGAGATTGGCGCTTTCAATGACACCAAGTTAAGGATCATCTGTTATTGATCCAGTGTTACTACAGGAGCCTGAACTAAACTAACTTTATTCATACTGTTTCGTATTTTTAGCACTTACATGAAAATGGCATCAACCACAGGGATTGGAAGGTAAGCGCGCACTTATTTATTTATCACTACTGTCTTTATATCCTAATCTTTAACGACCATAATTTAACTTTTTCTTCTCTAGCCAGAAAATGTTTTATTGTGTTCCTCGGATGACGAAACTCTTATAAAGGTTTGTGTCGGTTGTGTATTGAACTTAATCTCAATTCCGAGTTTTGTCCGTGATTTCGTTTCACGAAAGTAGAGCGCATTCTGCGAACGTTTTTTGCGTTCATGGTGAAGACTAGCCGACGGTCACGTTCGACAGACGAGTCTCTGCGAGCAAATAAAATACTCAGTTGCGTAGCCAACACGACAATTTAGTCATACTCTGCTAATATTTTGGAGTTCATTCACTGTGAAAACAATGAATTTCTAAAGAAATTAATATGATAATAACATAAAATTTGCATAGCATGGCTGAAAATGCTTCATGTAAGATCACATCGAAGGAATATGCATCCTCATTGACACACGTGGTGGGTTAAAAACGCACTAGTTCTTCCGATAAATTAAAGAACAGTTCCATATCTATACTTTTGTACGTGTAAAACTTTTCGCTTGATTTTCTTTTAATCGTGAGAATCCGACCGTGCAGCAAACATTAAAATCAAGCGATAACACTAAACTTGATTTTGATAGCCCTGAGTATATACCGCTATAATAGCTTTGTTCCTCATAATGATATGCTGGATTCCCCGTCCAGGTATAACTTCTAAAACACGCCGTATTCTTACTTGTATTCCAATGCACCTAAGTTAGTAAAAAACCTGTGAACCCGCTGGAGGGGTAAGAATGGAAAAATAGAGAAAAAATTCATCGTGTAAACAATTTATTTCTAAATCAAAAACTCACTCTTACAGAAGCCACTTATTGAAATATTTTCGCTATATATTTCAGTCAGATGGATCTCTCAGTCATTTCTCATTCCTTAGTGAACAAATTTTATTTCAGTGAATTGCTAGAACATACCTGAAGAACAGCTATAAACTTCAATTCTCAAAGATATGTTGCGTACCATGTCTTTGGATGAATGCGGATGTAAAGCGCGGTTACAGTTGGTGATAGGACATTTTCCACTAGTGAGTCTCTATAATGAAATGAGTAATTTGTTAAACAATTAATCTTAATCACACATTAAAAGTTATATATGACCGCATGGAAATGATGTGATGCATAATTATAACGTGAGAGGGTAATCTGTAGGAGCCTTGCTTATTAATCCAGCTAACCCTGACTAATCCATTTATTTTGTAATGAGCGAATTTTGCCTGTCGGAACTATAGGATACAGAGTAGGTCTTCACCCGCTAATTATAATTACGGCGACTTTGAGTGAAATCGCTCCAAACATCTTTCTTGCCGAAGTCAATTTGAATGCATTGGTCCTGGTAATTTTTCCGTGCAGATCAAGAAGCTGCCTCATTTAAGCGACCATGTCCTGTCGACTTATCCGCATTCCCAACACTTGTTGCTATTATCTGGGATGTTATGTGTCTTCAGTACGGGGGGCAATAATTAGTATCAATTATTCTATCTTCCGGCACCAAAACACCATCGAAACAATCATCAACAAAAATGAAATGATAATGTAGATAATAATGCCATATATGGGGCCTCCAGAATTGAAACCAATCGAGGTACAGCGTAATTTCAATTGATTTTGTGAAATCTTTACTGGGGTTAACTTCGAATTTTATCACATTCCCATATAGGGGAATTACTGAATAAAAAAATAATGTCCAACAGTCTTAATATGATAATAATAAACTGAACCTATACCAATGTAGCCTGCAATATTTACCTTGCTTGGTATGTCAGTCCATCAAATCCATGTATGGCACAGCGATGGATGGAGGTGTAGTCAGTGATAAGAGAAAGGTAATAATTGTTAGCGACTCCTGGGTTGCCATAATTTATTTGATCTAAAATTGAGAAACAAGGAACAAGAAAATTAATATATTATTGTCCATAGTTGTGAGGTTATCAGCATTGTGATATCTCAGGCTCGTGCGTACCGCTACCATGGGACAACATTCCTTAGCGAACAAATAGTACTTCAGTGAATTGCTAGAACATACCTGAAGAACCGCCATAAACTTCAATTCTCAAAGATATGTTGCCATACCAATTCGGCTCTATATGCAATAGAATCTACAATTGAGATTACAAGAACATCACTTTCACACAATTGAAACTATAATTGTATATGAATCACAAGGCCCTATACTGTATAGTAACAGCATGTATTTTGTGACTTCTATAACAAAAAGAATATACAGAACAAAATGCAGGCTGTTTTCTTTCATATTCACATAATACCCCCAACCCCTGTATATTGGTAAATGCAATTACATAATAGGAAAGGGAGAAAATAAATCTATTTTTAATAACACCAGTGTAAAATGAATGACATATCGAACTGTACAGCAAAATTGTGTAGGCATAATTCTTGTCATGCCTCCATCCCCAGATATCATGAAATTATCATGGTTTTTTAATGTTTAAATTAATCCGTTTAATTTAAAAAGCACAAAAATACCACCAAAATATAGCTGAAAAATACTTTAATCGTTTTAATCCAGAAATTAATCAATATTGCTGTTAACCTGACACTGCAGTGCAGCTCTAAAAATCATATCAAATTACACGGATTACAAACGGAAATATAATCGCCTTTGGAATTTCGTTATTTTCTTCGTTATTTTTATCCTGTCGTCTTTTAACCGTTACATGTAAACTGTAAAGGCTTTAGTGATCTTTTCTGATAGTTTTTAAGTCAGGATGGGCAGAAAAACTCGAAAAATATAGCTTTTTTTATTTGTTATTGTGTATAGCGAGGCGTTGCTCAGCCGCACGCACATGTGGTTGTCACCTGAGGTTAGAGGTATCAAAATAACGTTGCCTACCCTGTGGGGGTAAAAAAGCCCGGTAATCGATTTCCGGGGTAAAATTGTCCCTAGAAGTCAAATTGTTTTTCGACAATATGGTGATAATTAAATGCACATTTCCGGTCCATTTGTAAACACGTTTGTTGGAAATATCACTACAAATCGCCAAAGCGACTGTATTTCAAGTAAAATAGATGAAAATATTGATCCAATGTATACTAGAAATATTTGGAGGTTTTTAGGCGAGATTTTTGGAAGGCTTTGCGTATTTTCGCTTCTCTAAAATTCAATTTAAAAAGTACAAGTTCGGCAATAAATATCTTGGCTTATAGAAAGCTTTTGAAATGAACTAAATTTATACAAATAGGTAAATGTTTTTTCTTTGAGATAACACAATTTCTAGTTGATTTGATAAAATACTTCCAGATAAAATCGAAATTATCTGTGTGCGCCGTTTACGAGCAGACAGCAATGAGTTTAGTGGTCTCATATTTATTAAAATGGGTGAAGTATTCGCACAGTAATCACAAGTTTAAATCAGCTTACCACTTTGAAATATCCTCTGATCGGACGTCTAACTGAGAGGATCCCTTAAACATCGAGAATACTTCATTAACAAATGCCGCATCCTGTCCTGTTTGAGAAGTTACGAGAACTTCATCTTGGGTATTGGTTACTCCTTACTCTGTTGGAAGTTTCATTCTGTTGTATGAGGACAACACTTGTAGTTGGTGTGGTGAAAGGATGCAGATTGTCCGTTGGATGTTGTGCTTTTGTATTAAGACGGACCATTAGATATCAGCGCAAAATTGACACATTCATGGGAGTCGAACCCAATCTCCTAAAAAGGAGTATCCGAAATGTGTTCTTTGTGTGGCCAGGAAAAAGCGAGAGCTACAGGCAACTCGCAAACCGACTGGCAGACAATACGAACGCACAACACAAAACACACAACCGACGACACAACATCCAACAACCCACAACCCACTAACTCTGTAGCTGAAACGACAAAAAATATGGTGAGTTGTTCCTAGAAAAGCAAGCATTCACAATTAGCATGAAGGCAATTGTGGCTAGGGGTTTAACTGACGGCATGGATATGGGGTGGCTTCTTAGGGTTGGATACTGAAACTAAACTACGATCGTCTTTGTCTGAAAAACACAAAAAAAATTATTAGTAGCTCCCTAGAAAACGAAGAGCAAAACACAGTTAGACAAGCAGTGAGCCGTGTTTCCAGATACGGGGACAGAGATTCTTAGCTAACAGAGTGGCCACGGGGATCTACTTCTATTAAAAAAATAATTACACATACCTTGATCCTACCTAAAGAAAGAACTCACTTACCTGAAGAAAACGGTCGCAGATGGCTCTGTTTTATAGCCTGTAGGCTCTTGCATAATTCAGCAAAATTAAGACAACTTGATTGGTTATTTCTGTGCACAGGTCAATTTGTCATTGGTCAATTTTTGTACTCCATGATTGGTTCAATAAAAACCAATCAGATTGGTTAATCTATATTCAAATTTTGATCCCGTTTCTGTGATATTTGCAAGGTGATTGCACAACAAATGTTCGATTTCACACGTTTTGGAGCATATTCCAAGCCAATGTATCAGTATGTGTGTATTTGTTCGATTATTTCTCTCATGAAGTTCACAAAAAATTACAGTTCAATCATTATTAAAAGGCTTTATTTCCCTACCAGCTTTAGAACCCCATCGAGCAGGAAAGTCGGAATTTAAAAGGCAAGTAAATCTTTCAAACTGTTGTAGCATTTGAATTATGTGGTACATTTAACTACTGAACCTTTCAGAATATTGTCGAATTGGGCATGGCATTGAATAATAGTAAATATAAAAACTGACAAAATCGCAAATGTGGTAAATTTCAAGGCTAAATATTGCAAATTCCAGTGGAAATATGGCGTTTTACCGCCATGCATACATAGCTATTCACAGGTATGATATTCACGCGTTTTATATATTCAATATTACACATCAAAGCGGCCTAATCCTTAGGATATTGCCCAAAATGCAAACGAAAACCGGTTGCAGTGGTTTAGTTCAAATATTCAGTACTATTTTGATATATTTAGCGTCAAAATCGAACCTTTAGAAGATTTTTTCCGATTTTTTATATAAACATACCTGATGATATGAATTATCGCATCACCGGCAATAATATTTCACAATAATAAAAATATGGAAAACAAATTCGGGCAAAAAGCTGAAATTCTGACCTAGTTCCGATTCGAGCTTGTCTTAAGCACGTGCTTGCCAACGATTATCACTTAGCACTTATGAAATGCTATTTCTTCGATTCTTTTGCACATCCTAGCCTAAGAATTACTCAGAATTACAACAGATTGATAACATATAAAATTGGGACAATTCGAAGACAACAGAGTACCAAAAAAGCGAAAAGATATGGAATTTCTAAAATATATCTTGCTATGGGTGAGTAATTTGAGATAACAAAGCAACCTATTATTTTGATTATTGTTTTTACTTATAATACAATGCAGGTTATAACTATATGCTGGTTGGAATATACTATTCAAACAATCGTTTCAACTGCTATCGTTTAGTGGTATTCCGGGGTCTTTAGCCCAAATATTTCTGAGATATTTAATGTCTTGCTTCTGTGCAACATTATTGTCGGGAGTAATAGCCTATTTTGCTGTACAGTTCCATTTATCATTTATTTTACACTGGTGTTATATAAAATATTTTTTTTATTCTCTTTCCTATTATGTAATTGCAGAACGAATATTCAATATATTAGTGTACCAAATAAAAACTCATTATGACAATCGCTATCGGACGTCTATTGCATCGGAGATACGACTTGTGGTAAGCCAAATTCAATGTTATTTCTCGCGATTTTTCTATGAAGTCTTACATTGTGGTTTTTTAAAGATTCTTCAATGTTTCCTCAGTTTGCGAGCTGAGAACTAGCCCTTGTGCAAGACAAAATTGGAAAAGTTAAATTCACTTCGTATGTTATTTGTTCTGAAAGGAAAAGGTTGGTTAATGATGATAGTGCAACGCATGTCAGGTATTCTGCTTCCAAAATTCCTTTTTAGCTCGCCTGCACTTTAGTGCAAGAAAGCTATTGCTATAGTCTTGTCGTCCCCGTCCCCGTCCGCGTCCACACTACATGATAAGTAGAATGTTAAGATGCCACTTTTATTTCCCATTATTTTCAAATTATCTACTTAAGGAGTCTATTTGTTGCGAAAGAACCATTTACCAGGGGGAGTGAACATTATACAACAAAATATAATGATAAGGTCAATGTTAAAATGCTATATTTTTTGTATACTTTGGCTTTACATCAGAGGAATCATTATCAATATAAGTCATCAATATGCATTGTGACTATTTAGTGCCATTTGGTACACATTTATACAATAATAAAGAGAGTTTTGCTCAAAATTATCAAATGATAAGGTGAATGTTAAGCTAATTAGCATAATGATAAGGTCAATGTTAAGATGTTATATTTTTTAAATATTACGGCTTTACATCAGAAGATTCATCATAAATATAGCTCATCGATATGTCTTGTGACTATATGGTGACATTTAGTACACATTTACACAAAAATAATGGGAATTTTTTTCAAAATTTTCAAATGATAAGGTGAATGTTAAGCTAATTAGCATAATGATAAGGTCAATGTTAAGATGCTATATTTTTTAAATATTATGGCTTTACATCAGAGGAATCATCATAAATATAAGTCATCGATATGCATTGTGACTATTCATTTTACATATACAATAATAGAGAGCTTTGCTCAAAATTATCAAATGATAAGGCAAATGTTAAGCTTATTAGCATCATGATAAGGTCAATGTTAGAGTTATCCAGAGTTATCACGCTCATTACGATTTTCAGTGCTATTGTGTAGCCCTGTTTTTTTTAGTTCAAAGTTGTAGCTGAATTATATTTAACGAAAGTATTTGTACAACCTAAGCCAAATGAGAAACTTTCAAATATTTTCACCTGTATGCTACCATTTGTTTATATTGTACATGTACAATTATAAATTTTCAGATTGTGTTTATAAATGATTATGTATATAAAACATAGTCCAACGTTAAAGTTTAAAGAATATTGTCAGATAATTCGCAATTACAAGCTTTAGCACATAAGTATTTATAAGTAGAAAGCCGATAGGTTCGGAATACAAAGGCAAATGGCAACGCATGTGACATATATTTACATATTATTTATGTAGATACACATGCAAATATATTATTAAAGCCAGTTGAATTGTAGACAGGGCCCTTTGAACTACCTATAAGATTTATGTACATACCTTTTCGTTGTTTGATGCATAATCCTTTTTTGTGTAGATATAATCTTGTTTATTTCATAAAGCTAGGCGCACACACGACGATTTTAGTCGGCTGATTCCTGTCTAGATTGTCTAGATGGATGTTTTCATCAAAATGTGGCGACTGGCACTCTATACTTGGTCATAATCACTGAGCTATAATTTTATAGCTCAGTGGTCATAATATTAGACCAAGTAGACTCGCGTACACGCGCGAGGCGCGAGCGCCGCGAGAATGAAAACATGTCTGGGCAAGGGCTTCCTATATGTCTAAACCTGAATGGACCAACTACCGTTAAATCGTTGTGTGTGCGCCCGGCTTAAAGCAGGGACTTTTACCTGGTCCGTTAACTTACCTGTTGATATCACGTGCGCGGATTGCGAGAAACGCAAGAAATGTTGGTCACAAATAAAACTAATATGATTCCGAGGCCAGTTTTGGCCAGTAATTCTGAGGTCACAACTAATATCTGAAGTTTGTGCTTAATATTACCTTCCAACGCGGATTTTAGCCTTGTAATTTGTAATAAAAAGATCGGTAATTTGTGCTTCATACAGATACCTTTCATACAGAGTTTAGCATTATTCTAGACAAACAGTGCAGGCGAGCGTTAGGTGATTTCAGCACCTCTCTGGTTGCTTTACCGGTAGCTGATGTCAATTGGGGCCATGCTCTGTTCAGCCACCTGTTACCTCTACTTTTTGGTAATAAAGTGATTAAATTCAAAAAAATTCAAATTCAATACATCCTCATTTTTGTTTTAGTTCTCCAGAAGATAAGACAACCGGGATTGTCTCACTGCCTTACAACGAGGCAATGAATGTTATTCTTGTGTGCTTACAACAGGTAAACTTTTCCATCATAATATATCATCTGGCATTAAGTTTCGATTAAAGTTCAACTTTCTTCATTTTCTAGAAATTGGAATTGGAGGTGTTGTATGTTGTTCTGAGAAACTTTCCAGAGGCACTGCAAGATAAAAACTTGATACATTCTTGAAAGCACTACTTACGTTTAATATGTACAGTGTTATCTAAAATGGCAAGGGAAGTAAAGTTGTGCACTTTTCACACCAAAAACATGAACTAAAAATTTTACTTTGCATTCAGGTTTGAAATTATGATTTTCCTCCTGGATTATTTCGTGTTCCTCATGATATGCGCCGACCTCATTTGTTCGCTAGAATTTTTCCAGTACGGTTCTTATCATTCAGTTTTTTGCATCTATCATAATATCTTACCATAACTATACCAAAACCATACCATACCATAACCATACCACAACATATCATATAATCATATCGTATAATCATATCATACCATAACTAACCATAACCAAATCATACCATACGATAACCATATAATTGCAAAATTATATCACACCATACCATACCATGACCAAATCATACCATACTATAACCATATCATACCATAATTATATCACACCATACCATACCATAACGAATTTATACCATAATTATATCATACCATACTAATAATTTAATTGGATATTTTATTGTAACATGTGAAGGTATTAACAGAGCTGTGTACGTACCACATTTTCATTGGTCAAGATGAACAGGTAAGAACCTGCTTGACTTTATTTTCAGCGGTTGTCTGTTCTCGCTTATACGTTGTTGTATATTTCGTCTAGTTTTGTCGGATGCGTACTTTGGAGATTGGTTTGGTTGCTCATTCCGCGACGTTATGCGTATCCTGTCTCACCATATGTATGTTAGAAATGCCTTGCCAGTTATGGCAACGTAAGGCTACTTAAGATAGTCTTGAATTTGAGACTTTTTTATGTCCATTAGCACTTTGTAAAGAATGAAGTTGATTTAAGTAATTGCAGCGTTTTAAAAGTTTATTGCTTTGGAGATATTTAAAATCGTGCCTTGATAATGCACTCAGTGAATTTACAGAAATGTATTTCAACAAACTCCAGCCTAAATGTAACGTCTCTTGTTATGCGAGATACTCCTTCACAAATACAAGGTTTTTTGAACAATAATTTCTAAATTTTCGTTCCTTAGACTGCTCCCAACATATCTGGAAAAGTTTACTAAACTTTCGCCAACGCCTCAAGTTGTCATACCACTGTTAGAATTTCTCTCTGGTATGTTTCTTAAAGTTTCGAAAATTAAGAAATCTTTTGCGAAATATCAATGTACCCCCTAAAGAGAGGATTCCGATTGAGCAATTCTGCCGCTAACCATAGTTGATCGCCTTTTTGTACAATCAGCTGTGTTAAAAATCTCGTATTTCTGTTTACCAGATGATGGAGATTTGGATAGACAGGAAATCGCATACATAAAAGGTATATGTATAGCTTTCGGTTGCCAGTCATGTTATCAGGATTGAAACCGCACATTAAAATGGGCCTCTTGTAAATATAATCAATAAAAATATACCTGGAACGTGTAGTAGGTGAAGCCACGAATGGAAATTGAGGAATACTAAAATGGTGGCTAGGAATATTTTTGTATACCTCTTCTCAGCTGTACGCAGTTAGTGAACAGCTAGTGATTTGCATCGGTTATCAAGCCAATCAGATTACGGCTAGTTCATTTATAATACCCAGCCTCCTCTTTTGACGTGATTTGCTAGCCTGATTTCGTATTATAATTGGGTCAATTTTGTTTATTTTCCAGGCTTGGTCTTGAAGCTAGAGGAAGAATTGCATACTGTAACATCTTCATCCTCCAAATAATTACACATCCCGGCAGGTGCAGTATACAATTTATTTGAAAACATTGTTGAAACAAGCATTATATGACTGCAGCCTCGTTAGAAATGCCTTAACTTTTGCAGTCTTTTGTCTTTTTGTCACCCAGTTACATTTTCGAACTTCTGGTCAAAGTACGAAATCACTCGAGAAAGTGATTTCATTTTCCGTTGCAAGTGAGTTTATGAAGTGGTTTCCGAGCTTGTTTCAACATTTCATTTGTTAAATTTGGATGTGCAAAGATTTTAGGCGATTATCGAGTTGGAGCAAGCTCTGCATGATTCAATATGCCAGTATTGCAGCAACCTATTGTTAAAACTGGGAAATGAAATGCATACATTATTTAAGCAAATCTTCTTCAATGTAGATCAAATTGGTGGTGCAATACAAAGACAGTTCGCGGACGCCTTGAAAGTACGTATACAGTAGTCTTTGACATGATAGAAGACTTAGTGGTAGAAATTTGGGGAAAGGGCTCGTATGTTGATATTTTTTGACGTTTATTGCTGTAATAGCTTTCTTGTAGCTCCACTTATCTACATGTCTTCAAGCAGTCGTTAACCTGGTTTCCTTTGTTTCGTAATTGTTGTAAACAATCATTTTCGTAAACAATCATTTTCACGGATAAAATCTAGTCCAATCTTTCCACATTATTGCATCCCAGGTAGTTTTTCAGAACGGCGATGCATTAGGGTCGAGCGAAAAGAAAGATGTGCAACAAGCTGGCACATTTACGGTGCAATCATCTCAACCTGTGTGTATTAAAAGTAAACTCTGCATGGCAGGTAGTTAATGAAAAATGAGACAATTCATGTATTGCTGTAGCCAAATTAAGTTTCTTGTGTTTTTTAGGTTCATGTTCAACAGCAAGCGAATGACGGTTGGAAGAGGAAGCAACTGGATGTTTGGTCAACCAGCAAAGCAGCTGGTGGCGACAAAGGTGATCAATTACGTCCACCATAACATTAAGCTACAAGATGATCTTTTGCATAGTCATTTTTTAATAACGGTGATTGATTTAGGAAACCTATAACGGCTCTTCATTACTTTTTACGCTCTTAAGAAGTTCTACTGTATAATTCTACAACAAATCTGAGGAATTACAAACCGATTTGATATTCTAATTGGGAAACTCGTATTTTAGGTTATTCTCTGCTAGTTGGGCTATTCCCTATAGTTATGCTGATCGGATTCATATCTTTACAATTACGTGTGGCTCCAGGAAATCTGATCAGAACTTTTTTCATGCTACAGCGATATACCAGTGGAACTTCAAAATCTACATGTCATCAAGAAACATCAATGTTTGTTGGAATCCTCAAAAGTTCTAAACTCTTCGTACAAAAACAGGTAGAAATTTTTTTAATATATATTTTGAAAGGAGAGTCTCTAACCCCTCATCGTTTCTGGATTACTACTACTTTTAAGCGGTGTACATGCAATAATACCACTACACTATCAGTGGCAATTCTAAGGGCGTCCCCTTTTCCACAGGAACAACGTGAACTACTTGACAAAAATGGGGATTGCAATAGGTAAGTTAAAAAAATTAAATCGTAGGAAAATGTCTGGTTTTATCTTACCTTTTAATATAAAATTTGCCCAGGTTCGTCCAGATGAATTGTTCGTCTCTTGTATAAATACAGCTAATGTGATTTTTATACATATTAATCTTACTGGACCTTTTGATAGTGCTTCCTTAGGTCGAAATTCTAAATCGGTTAGGGTTTTGTGTGTTGTTAAAACTGATATAGGAACGATATTTCATATCCTAGTCCGTTACGTTAATTCACAATGATTATCCTTTGTTTTGTAAGAGTTTTGGTCTATGGAACCGACTTGAGACACAAAAAACTATTTTTGTTGAGCCACGACGAAAAAATGAATTTACAGAGGTTAGTTCTATTGCCATCCAGCGAAATCTTAAGACTAGACTTTTTAACAAATGAATATATAGTTAAACAGTTCATCTGTACGTTTCTACGAGGACGAAAAACGGATCATTTTGATCAGGAGGTTATGTTCAACTAAATAACTCGCAATGAACAAGCTGATTGAGGTTTGTCAAAGGATTTATGGTCTGTTTTAGGCAATGGAAGGATTTTATGAAAACGTTCGCAACCCAGAGAACAAGGGTGCTGTTTCTTGTCGTTTGCCAAAGAAAGGTATGGTGTCTACTGTATTTTTTTCGACGTATTAATACCAAGTTTAAACACATACATTTAAGACGGCTTGTCAAGTTTAAAACCTTGTATAGTAATAAGCTTGTTGGCGAATCTGCTGAAAACCTGTCAGATTTGGTGGAAATAAGTAATAATTTCATGTCCAGTGTCCGCGAATATAATCCTCTGATTCAAATCTTTTAGTATAAGCAATTAGGTCAGGGTTAGGGTGAGGTTTAGAATTAAAAGTTAGGAATAATTTCATGCATCCTGGACATGAAACAAGCTATGGACATGAAACTATGATCGAAACATACAAGTCAAACACATCCTGATAACAGACCGTCAAAAAAATTGATACGAGCCTCGGATGTTTTACAAGAAACTCCTGTGTTTCTCACGTTTAGGTCAGCAAAACCGGGAAACGAAGATTTAACTGTTGAAATTGACGTTTTCTATTGATTTTTGTTTCAGACCGAAAGTATGTGTGCCAGGATCAGGTGACAAGCTGTGCATTCACCCCCAGGTTCTTGAACAAGAAACACACACGGCCAAGGCAAGTGTAGATGACTTCATTGACCGTTGGTAAATAGGCTTGTAGCTCAAATTCTACATACCATGTACCCATTTTCTTACACGGTCGATACACTGAATAATTTACTATCTACTGTATAGGTGCACAGGTTGTATAACCACCCTCGCGATATTTTGCCCTTAAAATAAGGTAGTAATCCCCACAGTTCATGAAAGTTCTCTTGACTATTTTCAGAGGCATTTGTGCCGTACAAAGGTGTTATCGTGCAAAGACGTGTCATTACTATATTTTGCTGCAACAAGGTACTACCACTAAGAGATGTTTATATTGGGCTATTCGGCCATTGCCATTGGCGTATACAGTATCGTCAGATATTGTTTGGTATTCACTATATTAAATATAAACACTAAATTTAGGCTCAATTCAACATATATATGCATGAGCGATATACTTATGCTGATCAGATTCATATCTTTACAATTACGTGTAACTGCAGGAAATTTAATCGGAACTTATTTCATCCCAGGGGCGGATCGAGCATATTCTCTGACCGGTGCATCGTCCTGAGTCTCGCATAAATAGGGGGGTCCGGGGGCATTCTCCCGCGGGAAATTTTGAAATCTAGGACCACGCAAATGCGATTTCCTGCGTTTTGAGCGAATAGTTTGCAAAAAATACACGAATAAAATGAAGAAAAAAACCACTGTTATTTCGCACAAACAGTCAACCACACACGGACAAACAGCATGCTCTTATCTGGATTTCATCACCACCGATCTCAGCGACAACCACGAATCACGAGTTCGCCTCACACAATCTCCACTCATTACCACGAGTTATGCTTGGAGCGTGAGGAGACATAACTACAGTTTTGAACGAAAAACAAACGAAAGGGACTTGACCGGAATGGCAATAACGGGCATTCATTCTGGCCATAGCATTCCACACATATCCACATTGCACCAAGGTTTTGCAAAATAAACAAACAAACAGATTCGTACCATATTAAAATTATAATTTTCAAACCATAACAATTTATATTCCACAATTCCTATTACAGACTCACTTCAACTGTTATAAATAAAAAATCTTCAACCTTGCAACATTGCCAATCATCTCACTTTCAAAAAGCACCCAACAACATTTGGAATAACAATTTTTTACTAAAACAATGCATAAATCTCCTGTTTATTAAAGAGCTCAATGCTAGTAAGGTCTCTCCAATGCTGGTGAGGTCTCTCCATAAATAACAAAGATCCTCTTTGCCACAAAGTAACTTGGAACAAGCCCTATATAGGGTTCCAAGTTCCATTGCCTTTGGTCCTAAATGCATAAAAATGCATTATTTATTATACGCCATCGTACAATTCTAAGGATTAAGATCATTTAAGGAACATGCACAATTTAAATTATCTGCAATATTTTTTAATTATTAACAAGATCAAAAACACATATAATAGTTTGAACATAAACCTTCTACAGTAATTATGATATTGTTTTAAAAAGGCATAAGTTTAATAATATTACTTAAAGGACATAAGTTGTTCTAATGTTCATTTACTGTATGGTCCTTGACAATAAATTTATAATCACCGTGTACTAAGGACAAGTCAATTATTGTCAAATGTCAATATTGCTACAACCTTCTGGGTTCTTACCATGATATAATTATATTGCAAAATATTAATATGAATTTAATATTGATATTATGCAATTGAGAATGACAATTTATAACTTTGCCATTCTAAGCATAATAAATAGAGTGTTAGTTGTTATAATTAACAGCAATATATATTTAATTATAGTATATATTTTTGTTTATTTAATGCTTTTGAGTAATATCTAATGTAACTAGATTTGAGCAGCTGCGAGCCTGTGGCTGTGCCTAGAACTAAAAATATGCCACACTGTTGACTGCCCTCTACATATATCAGAATATGAATCATATCATATATACAACAATATAATATATATACAACTACATACAGCTTAATAGTTAATAGTAAGAACTTACTGACTGAGAGTGAGGTCTGTACGGTAAAATATCAAACTGAGGTCGTGCCGAGACCAAGACCGAACAGTCGAAGTTAGTAAGTTTTTTTATTATATGGCATATTTCATGCAGACATTGTAATGATTAGTTAGTTTTTGCCGTGAGTTTTGCCTTGTTTTCACAGGGCAATAAGAATTGCGTATTGCCCGTGGGCAATACGGGGAAATCCGGACCTGTCAGCAGCCAATCAAATTGCAGAATTAACCAAAACAAGCGCTTGCCATATAATAAACAATATTTAATACTATATAATATAGAGCTATTGTTGGGCCAATTTTGGCAAAATTAGAATATTATTCTTTATTTATTATCATTACTGCAATAAATAGTCAATAATACTAGGATACCAAAATAACCAAACTACCCAAGTACTGACAGTAATGTAAACAATTACTCACTTTAGAGCTCGGTGTGCCCCACGCTGTCGTGTTTCGGTGATATGCTTCGGAATATAATTCACTGGCAATATCTCTTTCAACCTTGCCAACTTTAAAGGGATTCGAAACCTTCGATTTCGACAGGGGAGTGGAAACTTTCATTTCAGCACCACGCCGTACTGCCTCAATATCGGACAGCTTATTGTGTTCAAGCAAAGAGCAAAGATCGCACTTCATTTGCATCGACATTTGCATCGACATTTGCATATCTTTACTTGCCGCCATGATACAGCATGGCAATGAACAAAATACGACGTCACAGTGGCTGAGATGCACCGGTGCGTGTGCCCACGGTCCACTGGGATAGTCCGGATGTTTTGCAAAATAAAAGCAGCCTTCTTTCTTCATGTACAGGTCCCTCTGTTCTCCAATGTACGTCACTTCCGGTGAAAAAGCCACGAAAAAAAGCCAACTTTGAGGCCCGAATAAACGAATGCGTCATCGAAGAAAGAATGCGTCAACAGCGCGCCATAATTAAGCGCTCGACCGCATCTGAAGCTTTACCTCGAAAGGTCGCAGAGAGTGTAACAAACGAAAACTGCTCACCGAGAAACATTCTGCGAAATGGTGCAACATTGCTAAAGAAGCAAGAGATCTTAGGTCTCGCCTACAGAAACAAACATATATTACGCAGGTATATGAATTTACTATGCTATAATTGCAACTATTTAAGCATATATAAATACAGATCCAGATTGGTACTGATGGTTGAATAGCTGATATTGGTTGAGCAGGTAATGATACTGTTTAGCAGATAAGGTTTTTGAACAATCTGGTGGGAGGTTTCAGTGTGCAATTATGGGCAAAATCCAGGCAATTATATATGGCATATCTTCACCACTTGGCATAGCCAAGATTTAACTTCACAGTTGTGAAGTTAAAATTCTTTTTAAGGGTCATAAGTAGCTTTCTTGTTTTTCAAAGCTTTTTTACGACAGTTGAAAAATTAGGTCACTATCCAGTGGATAACTTTATCCATGCACCTTTTGAACAACTAGCCCCAAGGCTGTAAACAGGATTTTTGCCAGGGGGCACTGTGTGTGTTGAGGAACAGGTGCCCCCCATATAAGGCTTATGTCATCACTGATATAGTGCAAAATTACATGGTTTCTTCCAAAAATATATGATAATACAGGTGCTCTATAATAGTGCTATTAGTTTTTATAAAGCTTTTGTAGATTTCAATGAATGTAGGTGACAAATGAAGAAATCCTATATTAGATGTCAACCATATTATAGTCCAAAAGGGTTGCTGGGGCAAACAAACGTCATGATCTGCTGCCAGCATTGTTTTATTTTTTTATTTGCGCTGATGCAAACGCCGTTCAGCAGCCTTCAAGAGTTTTACTAAACAGATTATTGCAATGGACATTTCTATAGGCATATCGTCGATGCCATTCTCTAAATTTTAAAATTCACAATGAAACATGTTGATAACCACATATTAACTCTAAGGGCCTAACTCTAAGGGCCTAACTCCACGGGCGCCTTTTCTCGGCGAAATGCGAAATATTTCACACAATTGAAACTATGATTGTATATAAATCACAGAGGGTCTATACTGTGTGATATCTATAACACAAGAATATACAGAAAAAAATACAGGTTGTTTTCTTTCATATACACATAATACCCTGGTAAGAAAGCTCCATTTTAATGAGATTTATCGAACTAGGATATGTGCGAATTTGTCAGTTTATAATATTCAACAACAATTTCAAAGATTTACTTGCCTTTTAAATTCTGATTTTCCTGTTGGACGGGATAGCGAAGCGAAGAACATTTGATGAGAATATTCGAAGTGTATACAGCAAACAACAGCTGAACATCACGTGTTTTATGTAGAACGAAGTTTGGCTGTGAATAGCCAGTTATAAATCTTCAATCTCTTTACACCTAGGTTGAAAGAAAGCTCCATTTTAATAAGATTTATCGGACTAGGATATCATGGCCGTAAAACGCCATATTGCCACTGGGTTTAAATTTACTATATTTGCGAATTTGTCAGTTTATCATATTCTACAACAGTTCCAAAGATTTACTTGCCTTTTAAATTCCGATTTTGGTGTTGGACGGGATAGTAAAGCGAAGAAATACGATCATACTGTCATACATTTGATGAGAATATTCGAAGTGTATAGAGCAAACAACAGCTGAAATCATGTGTTTTATGTAGAACGAAGTTTGGCTGTGAATAGCCATTTATAAATCTTCAATCCCGTTTACACCTAGGTTGAAAGAAAGCTCCATTTTAATAAGATTTATCGAACTAGGATATCATGGCCGTAAAACGCCATATTGCCACTGGATTTAGATTTACTATATTTGCGAATTTGTCAGTTTATATTATTCTACAACAATTTCAAAGATTTACTTGCCTTTTAAATTCTGATTTTCCTGTTGGACGGGATAGTGAAGCGAAGAAATACGATCAAGTGTATAGAGCAAACCACAGCTGAACATCACTTGTTTTATGTAGAACGAAGTTTGGCTGTGAATAGCCATTTATAAATCTTCAATCCCCTTTACACCTACGTTGAAAGAAAGCTCCATTTTAATAAGATTTATCGAACTAGGATATCATTGCCGTAAAACGCCATATTGCCACTGGATTTAAATTTACTATATTTGCGAATTTGTCAGTTTATCATATTCTACAACAGTTCCAAAGATTTACTTGCCTTTTCAATTCCGATTTTCCTTTTGGACGGATAGTTGACCCATTCAAGAGAGATGTAAGAGTATTATTTAATTTTGACTTATCCGCCGTTTAAGCTAAACGGCCTTGATACAACCGGGCCCGGGACTATAAGTAAATGTGTGGAGCTGTATTATTATTATAAATGCAGACTGTCTTAGAGCGTTTTGAGATCGTTTAGATTGTTTTACGAGAGTTGTTTCATGAAATTGTTGTAAATTGAAAATAGAAGTAAAACCAGCGTGTGCAGGTTAATTTACTGAAGGAAGCTTGCCAAGAATTTAGTGAAAATATTTGACAAACTTTAAACAGTTTTCATTATTAACTGAATACCAACTGTATATTTACGGTCTACACAAAGGTCTCGGAGATGTCAATTTCAAAACAAAAAGTCAATTTCGTTTAAACTATGTACTTACAGCACGGTTTTTACCCTGGGTGACACATTGGACGAGACGAGGCAGCTCGTCGTGAAGAGAAGCGTGGCGTCATAGAATTTCACGTCGTTGGGAACTGACTGCGAGGACAGCTCTCTCAAAAGAATATTATGTGGTTGATTGGCTTGACAAAAAGTATTTTCATATCAACTAACGCGAATGCCGAAAGAATATATCACGAGATTGGTTTTGATCAGTAAGTGAACCAGTAAATTTTAGCTGCAAACTATTGGCACGGTCAAAATGGATGCGCTGTGCTTTAAATTGCTGTGCATCAAATTGGACGCAGGCACCAATTTTAGCTGTCCCGTGCTAATAAATTGACTACATCATTCTATAAAGAGCTTCTTGCTACTTTAGATGTTTTGGTTGTTGAATGTATGCAAATATCATCGTAGATAAAATTGTACTGATAATTTGCTCACTTTAACTTAATCTAATGATCTGCCATCTGAGCCACTTTGTTTAGCAACAAAAGAACGAGACACATTTTTACGGCACCCATGTATAAAAACTATATATCGCACAAGGTAAATTTCATTCAGTCTCGAACAACGGGTTTTCACTTGTGTTAAACATTACAGACATTAAAATAATCTCCGGTTTTCTTAAACACCGTTTAAAAAATTGAAATCTGGATTATAATCACGCATTCATAATGAAAAAAATTGCGATTAGCTAGTATTTTTGTCCAATTGGCTTCTAATATCCGCTTGCATTAAAATATGTTTGCTAATTTGCATGCTAGCCCGGACAAATAATTATGATCTTATTTACTCTCCTTCTTTCGGCGTTCTGTGAATATAAATTGTTTTTAAATGCAAGCGTAAATTGAATATACTAACCAAAGCCAAAGCGTAAATTGAATATGTTAACACATTGAATTTTTTTAACACACACTCGATCTTTTTAATTTTAAAATGTCGTCCAGTTTCGGTGACCATATTGGTAGGCATGATATCTCTTGAAGAATGATTCGATTGGATTTTATAACTTATTGTATTACTTATATATAATAAATGTAATATTACACTAACTCCGGTAAACTCGAACCCCCGCGGTAACTCGAACAATTTTCCTTTGCCCTTGGGGGTTCGAGTTAGCGAAGAAATTCTGTATTTTAAAAGCTCACTCAAATTTTATGAGTGGGAGTCATAACATTTCCATGGCGGTATTTCCACTCGAATAAGAGCTTAATTTTCAGTGTTTTACCTTAATTACCTTAATTTTACCTAATTTATCTTTGTATCGACTAAGAAATAATTTTCTCTTTGATCGGTGATGACAAAATTTGTATGTCACACTCAATGAGTGTGAGTGTAACACAGCCTACAGGCGATAGTGTGGATACGGAAGAATTACTGATAATCGTTTAATATTTATCTGTTTTGAGAGCGTAATGTCCAAAATTTTTGTATTCGGGGTAATTAGACAGAAATTCTAGTTTCTACAGGGATCGTTAATGAAAAGTATGGGTTATGGTTGTCGCAGATAAACTACCTGAGGTAGAAATTTTAGCAACATCTAGTCAAGAATTGTGTGACAGGCAGCAGATGATTGCATTTTCTCATTGCTTTTCTGCAGTTGTCAGCATTAAAATTGGATCTTGCCAGTCACGCAAAACCTTTGAATACGTACAATCCAGAAAGTCAGTTTATACAAGACCTTCGAGAGAAAGGTGAGTGTACTTTCTGACGGTTTTGAAATACTATCTTTATTTGTGTTTAGAATCTTAATAATCACGACTGCCGTAGAACATTCTAAATCTACTGAATTAATTGAAACGTATAGATCGTGCATGATGTAACCCAACCACTGTCAGTTGTTAGACCATATATAGAATGCATATCTCTTGCTGTCCTGGTCCACCTAAAATAACGTGATATAGCTATGACGCCTGTCTATGCAGATATATTTCATTCCAAACCGTTCACAATTGGTAAATTACGACCTTTTCCAAAACAGTAAATTGATTGCGGCTGGAAAACCTAAAATTTCTCATCAACACTTAACAAACCCTAAAATCACTTCATAAAATTTGAATGATTTAGTCAGGATTTGAATTTTAAACGTTTTCCTCTTTTTTTCAGAAATCTTTGGTATGAAGGGAGTTGTATCGTCAGCTGAAGGATTACACACCTAACTACGTCAAGCTGCTCAACGGATTAATGGATTAACAAAAGAACGCAAACAGTTGATTAAAATGGGAAATAAGCTGAGAGCTGAATTGTTGAAATATAAAGGTATTTGAAGGAATGTTTTGGTATATCTATTAAAATGGCATTAATATATAGACGTTAGTCGAAATAAATTACTGTAAGAATGAATTGAATACATTTTTCCTATAGTCATGACGCGTAGCTTCTGTTGTTCGCAAAAGACTAACTGCATGCATGTGCAAAGAGAACCCGCGATGATTACGTCACTACCACATGTAGGGTAGTGACACGTTACCGGGCCCCAGAACACTGCGGCAAAACGTCTGGGCACACGCAGGTCGGTTATAAGCATATTGGGAAATTTTCAATTGGAATTGTTGAAAAACAAGTGGACTAAACATTCGTTTAATGTGTCCTGCCATTTAAATATGAAATAAAATTGTATTGCAGATTAAAATTACAAAACAATCGCACCGTAACCATTTTCTTCACCTGGGCGGCATATAACTAGGCGTATGGCGAATTTCACGTTGATATTACAATGTAGAAGCTAGGGATAAGATTCAGTTTTGTGCGTTTTAGACAAGAAACAAAATTATCATCATCAAAGTATTTATACCAATTCATTTATTCAACGCGGGACATAAGAAGCAAGTGATTTCGAAATTATCAGTAACGACGAAGAATTTTGATACTACGCACGTGCCCCCCCCCAAAAAAAAAATCCTAGGGCCCAAAAGTGCCGGGGTTTTGGTGAAAAATGCCTTTTTGGAAATGGTAATTCTGTAAATACAACTTTAAAATCGAAGGTGGCCTTTTTTGTTTCCAATGTACGCCCAGGGCCTACAGGTACGCCCACTTACCCGTTCCTAATCTTTGTGTAGACCATGATGAATATAAACCACACTACAGTCACTACTTACTAGTCGTGTCTTTGGTGCTTTGGCAATAAAACCGTCCCTATACATATTTTTAATTGCCCTTTCTATTTATTAGTTAGAGCCCGCCCCCCAATCTCGGTATTCTCCCTACGCCATTGAGAATGGAAATTTCGGTTATTTACGGAAGAAAGATCGCTTTGAAACACTGTAAATATGCCAAAAGCTTTGAAAAAAAAGTCAAACGGTAAAATACGCGCAAGACTTAATTCTTCCACGCGGCGAATCCGGCTTGATTTTGGTAAATCAATTTGGACATATTTGTGACCGTTTATTAGCTTTTATTCAATTTTCTGTTTCTTTGTGCGTGAGGACAGTTTTAGGACATACGACACATACGGTGCGTTTTAATATGTGCACCCAGGTATATGTGAATGTACGCTTTCCGAGCATACTCGATCGAAGCTAAACGACACTGCATGCATACATATTCTGTGACTTGATCAAAATTATATTCGAATGTACGCAAGCAAAACGACACACTGACACAGCCCGCTTTTTTTGTTTACTCGATCCGTGTTGTGAACGCCGTTTAAGGCGTATTAAAGGTTACGTCTGCGGAACGAAAGAAGTATCTAAGGGATAAGCATTTGTGTTTTAACCGTGCCGATCATTGTGCTTCTGATTGCCGAAGCCGATTTTCTTGTACCAAATGTAAGCGTAGACATCATACCTCGATTTGTGACCTCCCGGGTGATACGAAGCCTCCTGCTGCGCCCTTTAATGAAATGCTACTTAGTCTTATAGTTCTGTCGTTTATCCTGTCGTAGTTGTTAATATAAATAGTGTTAAATGTCGCGCCGTAATCGACACGGGGGCGGGAAGTTTCTACGCCTCGTTTGCATTGCTCCACAAAATAAAAGCGAAACCCAAAAAACGAGAAATGCGTCATATAGAAATGATTATTATTGAAAAAATTTCCAGGTAGTTTAGAGCCTTTGTGAAGGCTGAGCAACTAGCATCAATGTTCACGTTTTGACAATGAAATAGCAATGCGACACCCCTTAATTGTTCGTGAAATCATTTTTCCAAAACGGTGAAATCTAGACACAAATTGGTACGTGATAAGGGGGGGGGGGTTGCTCTCGTTGAAAGAAGAATTTACGCCGATCCGACATCTTTTGTCCAAAACGGAAGTACTAATTTCACAAACCTGTCTGGGGTTTTTTTTGGCGAACATACATTAAAATGATGGAATGGTATGGATGAAAAAAAAGTCAGTCACCCTCTACGGCATTGCATACCCAGGTAATCTGAGTGAAAAAATCAACGAATAAGAAGCCATATCCTTTGCTTCACTGAAGACTGGCTTATCATATCCTTCATATCATATAACTGCGGCATTTGAAAAATTTTAGTTAGTTCATTATTTCAATGTAAAAATGCATTTTTTTTCGTCAAAATCAATTAGAATTTTATTTTTGTCCGTTTTACATTAAAAAATTTTGAGTTTAGAACTACTCAGTTTGTGCAGGCGCCTTTTGACGTATTTGAAGCCATGACTAACCAGCTGATCTGAGATCATGACATCATAAAGCGTCTTATAAATTTCACATATATTGCAACTCAACAAACTATAAAACTTTCATCAGAAGTGAATTCAATCCGACAAAATTGGATCGTATGAACAGGTTGACTTCCAGGATTGGATTTTAAAATTTGATCAAAGCGTATGTACGCCTATGTATCTATTCTTACGTAATCTCCGACCACGCGGGACCAGCGTAGTTTTGCGTGACACACGTGGGCATCAATGCACAAAACAGCTTTACCAAAACAAAGAAAAAATATTATAGAAATTAGAAATTTTCTTCAATGAATGTATTTTAGCACAATATGAAGCTTAAATAGGCGGGCTAATCGCTGTATATACTATACTAGATGTACTGTCCGCCGCAAAACAATCGCAAACTGTCGAAATATATCAGCAAACTGTGCTGAAGTTGGCATGACCTTCGTGCACTCAATGTGTTATTAATATGCTGCAAATACCAATGTCTGCAAACGATTCAGACTCCGTGTTTTACAGAAGGAAAAAGAATGGCGTGAAGCTTCTCAACTCAGAGTTCAGGCACTGGAAGAAACTATAGCTGAAAAAGATAGGGAGTTCAGACACTAGGAAAAGTTGAGATTTCGTAAGTTGAAGGATGATTTTGAGTATAACTTCAAACCTATATTAGAACGAGATCAAGAGTTAGAGAAATATGATACGGTGATTGGTAAAGTTAAGGAAGATGAGCACGTTAAGACTGCTCAAGTTAGTGAATTGTGTGTGAAGATTGATGAATTCAACATCAAATTACAAAATGAACAGAAGTCCAAAGAGGAGCTACAGAAACACTACCAAAAGGTAAATTTTTAATTTTTTTATTTTGATGAATCGATTCTGCATACAAAAATATTTAAATGAAAACAGGATAAAATTAATTGAGCTAGGAGTCTGTTAAAACCTTTAACAGGCTTTTTAATTTAAACCCCTAGTTGCAATGGCTTGGTGCAATATAGTTGAACATAGTGACATTGGTGTCTAATATTAAATTGTGAAGATGAAATTAATTACATTTGATAAAAGATAAATATATAAAAGCTAACTGTCTATATTACATGAAGAGAAGTTACAATTGTGTAATATACACTTAATATATGCTCCCGAGGGAAATGGTGAATTTTGTTTTTCCAAGAGTCTGACTGAAGGGAAAACATAACTCACTATTTCCAAAGGTAGTGTACATTAAGTGTTTTGTTGTATAGGAACGAAAACATAAATGTTACACAACAAATTTATTTAAAAAAGAAACCCACTTTACTTTGTTATGACAAGAAGCAGGCAACAATTTTTTACTAATTGGGGCACTCCTTTCGTTGCCTTATGTAGTTAGTCCTCCGATAAGGTTTATGAAGTTTTGTTGAATTTCAATCGTTACATATAGTTGTGCTGTATACGTGTACATATGTGCAAGAATAAATTTATCCTGTGATATAGCTAGCAACGAAAAGCAACCCTGTAATTGACTGAGAACAAACTGGGCAGCCATTAAGCATAATTAGAACTGTTCCAGAATAGCTGCAGCTGAGCTGCAAGCTTTCTCTTCTGCTTATCTTTCTTCACTAGCTATATGTTTAATTCTGATATGTTCAACAAATGATATGGTTAATTATGTCTAGAGATTGCAAGAATATCAGAATCAATTTAAAGCTTTTCAAGAAGAGAAAGATAATGTAGTTGCTAAAGAACGGGAGGAGCTTTCGTCTTATCGGAAAAATCTGGAGCTACAATTAAGGTAATCTAGTTCACCTCATGCAATCATTGTTTGTAACTGGAATACATCAGAGCTCTTAAAGACATTTAAATTTTAGGTGATCATAATTAATGAACTCTAAAGGTAGGGTACACTGATGCTAATTAATGTAAACCATGTTTAAACAAACACCTTGTTTACATTTTCACTCACTACATTTCTAAAAATATCAAGAGCAGTCAGAATAGTTGACACTATTTTGGTTTGCTATAGTTCTAAATGAGAGCTGGAGTTTATGTTCCGAAAAGTAAAAAATGTGCTAAATTTCAGAAATTTTAAATCAAGTAGTCTACCCATATTGTTACAAGCAGAACTGATGTGAAGAAGTCACTGTAAACTACCTTTTAGTATCAGTAGAGATATTACATGCAATGTATGCCAATGTGCAATTATGAACTTTGAGAACTTACTGAGGCTATAATTAACAATGAGTTACAGTGATTATGTTAATAAAGCATTTTTTAAAATATTGGTTAAAGATCAACATTTTGATTTTTTAGAGCACAAAGATAAAGATTTGTAAGAGTTTGTCATCCAGAAAATGTCAGTAATTTTGATTGAGCAATAAGAAAAAAGAACAAGAATATCGATCAAAACTGGATGAAACAAGAAGTCTCTTATTGTCAAATGACCTTAAGGTAATAATTTATACTCATTACAACTATTACAGGCCTATCTGCATGCTTTCCATTTGCCAATATATACCTCAAATACAATATTACCACCATTTTATTACTGAAGCTCCCTTCTCCTTGGACCTTTTTTTCATCTCTCTCCAAAAAACCTCCTGTGCACTTTAAACACTACATGTTGTGGCTTTAAACTATTTCACCACATAGACCAGTTGTTTAAGGCCATTTTGTGGATGACTAATACTAAGAATATTACATGTGTGCATTGTAAACATACAAGGTGTGTGTGTAACTGTTTTCCTCAGTTAAACTATCTTGCTACCAACAAGGTTTCGCTTTTTCCCTAACTTCTTGACGAATTTAGGAATTCGCTCTCTGAGCTAAAATTTTACCTATGTAGTCTAGATGCTTAAACGAGTGCATTTGGTCAAACGAGACTACCGAGCCAAACGTATAAATTAATTGCCCGTCATAAATTAGGCTTTTGGTTTAAAGTACATATCTAGAAAGTGCTTTGTGGGATGGTTTGTCGATCATTGTCACTTGTCTTTAATAATTGACAGGTTTTTTTAGATCTGAAGTTTAACAAAAGAACTGGAGTTAATGCGATGTGATAGTCGTCGATGTAAAGAGGAACTCGACAAGAGAGAACTGAGAACTCGGGAGCTGAAGAAGTGCTTGAAGAAAAAGATTGGATGCTTTCTGATTTGGAAAACACTCATAAGTATAAGGTCACAGATCTCGAAGCACAACTGGAAAATATGAGGAGAATGGGAGACAACTTACAGGAGGATTTTAAAAGGAAACATGCCGAATTGGATCGCTTTGCTCGGGAAAAAGAAGAAATGTTGGCCAACGCTAAACAAGTAAGTCGCTATTGCAAATGTAGTCTAAGGCTTAATAACCGAGCTAAAAACCTTACGAAACTGGTAACACAGTAAGTTTTTTCTCTGGTGATATAGTTTTCTTAGTAATTTGCCTTGTTTCCATGAACTGGGCAAAACTGGTAACACAGTAAGTTTTTCTCTGGTGATATAGTTTTCTTGAGTAATTTGCCTTGTTTCCTTGACATTTATACTTATATATATATATATATATATATATATATATATATATATATATATATATATATATATATATATATATATATATATATATATATATATACACAGAGTGTATCAAAAAAATGTCCCAAATGTAAAATTTCCGTTTTTCAGAATATTTTGCAGAATTTGGCAAATTTTTGTGTTCCTAGAGATAGTTAAGCCTTATCTGGTACACCTAGGCCAAGTTTGGTTTTTCATTAACAAAGTTATGTTACCGGGGGGTGTTCCTTTCCACTGATATTGAGAGGGCTTGCGCGCGAAAATATGAAGCTGAAATTGAGATATTATTTACCTGTCTAAAAGTAGGAAAGCTTTTTAATAAATTGTCAAAGTTTCAGGAAAAATAATGCAAACTGGGAGCAACGCGTGACCCCTAAAAGTGACAAATATTTTATTGCAAGCAGTGGATTAAATGCATGGTTGATTTTAGCGTGACCGATCTCATACAAGGTGGGCAAATGAATAAATTAAAGCGAGAAACGAAACAAGAAGACGAAGCGATTTAATAACAAGATTTTTATTCGTGATGTTAATCCTCAACATTTCCACCATTTCTTTCTAAGCAAACTGCGGCTCGTGTGAGCATGGTAAACACTGAACGGCGAACCATTTGTCTGTCTTGCCTCAAATTATCCATTTCGTTCGAAATTCTTTCTTGCAAATCGCCTACACTACCACCGGCAAATCTAGGCGAATGGACAGACAAACGGTCCACTGTTCAGTGTTTAGCATGCTCAGACAAGCGTAGAATGAAATGGTGGACATGCTGAGGGTTAACATCACGAATAAATCGCTTTGTTTTTGTGTTCAGTTTCTCGCTTTAATTTATTCATTTGCCCAGCCTTACATGAGATCGGTCACGCTAAAATCAACGATGCATTTAATCCACTGCGCGCAATGAAATATTTGTCACCTTTAGGGGTCGCGCGTTGCTACCAGTATGTATTATTTTTCCTGAAACTTTATTAAAAAGCTTTCCTACTCTTATACAGCTAAATAATATCTCAATTTCAGCTTCACATTTTCACGCGCAAGCCCTCTCAATATCAGTGGAAAGGAACCCCCCCCCGGTAACATAATTTTGTTAATGAAAAACCAAACTTTGCCTAGATATACCAGATAAGTCTTAACTATCTCTAGGAACACAAAAATTTGCCAAATTCTGCAAAATATCCTGAAAAACGGAAATTTTACATTTGGGACATTTTTTGATACACCCTGTATATATAGCCTGAAAACTTAATAGAACTGGGCACTGGTAACAATTTTATCCGTGCCGTGCCGATAAATTTAGTCTATAGTGTAAATGGCGCTGGTATTCGAGTGCTACATTCCTGCATGGATTTTAGAAAGCTGTGTCGATTATTGATGATCAACGCTCTTTCTCTTTCCAGGTTCGTCAGAAGCAACTAAACATTGATCAACTTCACTATCAGTTGACAACAGAGAATCGTCGGGCCAGCGAAGAAATGAATGTTTTGAAGCAGCAGAACTCTGATCTCAAGCTGCCGGTAACCCAAGCAAGACAACAGGCTGACCAATTTTACAAAACGGGTTTGGAGAGAAATATTGATGCCGTATCATTATAATAAACCAGGTAAGTTCGATGATATTTAAATAACTAGATCGCAGATGCAAAATGGAAATATAAAGACATTCTTTAGGTATATAACATTAAAACAAATTAAACGTGTAAATGTATCACAGTCTGAAGCTTAACGGTGAACTCACTTTCAATTGTACTCTACCGTGTTGCTGGTTAATGCAAGATCGAACGAAATTTATATGTACTTTTAAAACCGCAAGCAGTTAAGAGAGGATTTGATTAGGTATCAGCCGGATGTCAGTAACATCCTGGGAGATTCACTGAGTAACAAAGCGAGCAGCTATAATGCTAAACCTAAGATATCAGTTGTGACAGCCTTATGCCTGTATTCTAAAAGCTCACTCGAACGGCCTTTAGTGGAGATCTCAATCTAAGTCATAACATTCCCAAGGCGGTATTTCCACTCGAATAAGAGCTTTATTTTCAGTGTTTTACCTTAGATCTTTTTATCGATTAAGAAATTACTTTCTCTTTGATCAGTGATAACAAAATTTGGTTGTCGCACTCGATGAGTGAGGGTGTAACACGGCCTACAGGCGAAGAATTACTGCATGATAATTGTTTGATATTTATCTGTTTTGAGAGCGTAATGTCCGAAATTTTTGTATTCGGTGTAATTAGACCGAAAGTCGAGTTCGTGCAGAGATTGTTTATGAAATATTGGTTAATGTTTGTCGCAGATAAACTACCGCAGGTATAGAAGTATTAGCAACATCTAGTCAAGAATTGTGTGACAGACAGGAGATGATTGCTTTTTCTTATTGGAGTTGCTTTTCTGCAGTTGTCAGCATGCATTAAAATTGGATCTTGCCAGTCACGGAAAACCTTTGAATATACGTACAATCCAGAGTCAGTTTATACAAGAGAGAGAAAGGTGAGTGTACTTTCTGACGCTTTTGAAATATTATCTTTATTCGTGTTTAGAATCTTAAGAACGTAGAACCTTCTAAATCTACTGAATTGAAATGTATATATAAATTGTGATGGAACCCAACCACTGTCGGTTGTTAGACCATATATAGAATGCCTATCCCTTGCTGTCTTGATCCACCTGAAATGGCGTGATATAGCTATGACGCTATAGTATAGCTATGACGCTATAGTATAGCTATGACGCTATGGTAGCTACGACGTTAAAAAGTCTACGTAGATATATTTCATTCCAACTCGTTCACAATTGGTAAATTATGATCTTTTCCAAAACTGAAAATTGATTGCGGCGGGAAAACCTAAAATTTCTCATCAACACATAAGAGACCCTAAATTCATTTCATAAAATTCTGAACTACTTAGCCAAGATTTGAATTTTAAACGTTTTCCTTTTTTTTAAGAAGTCAAGCTGCTCAACGGATTAATGGATTAACAAAAGAACGCGAACAGTTGATTAAAATTGGGAAATAAGCTGACAGCTGAATTGTTGAAATATAAAGGTATTTTAAGGATGTTTTGGTATCTACTGACTACTGTATTAAGATGGCATTATATAAAACACGTATTCCCTATAACCCCACAAGTGAACACATGGCTCAATTAAGAGTAAAAGTACATATATGAATTGTACAAAATTACAAGTACAAGTATATATATATAAGTCTCAACAGGTCTAACAACAGGTCTCGTTCCTCGAGCACTATATCCATATTGCTGAACTATTTGCTTGCCTTACATAAGTAACACGAATTAAAGGACATTGAATAAGAGACACACTCTGTTGTGACTTTTAAATACAAGGAAATAAAATGGTGTCTTATACTTACAATGTCTGGTTCGTCAACAAAAACTAGCTGGTTCGGATGCAAGCAATCTATGACAATATATTCCTCGTGTTGGGATAATATTACGCTGCACGTTGGACTACCGAAACGGCAAGGCTTCACATTATCCCTGTTTAAAAACGTCTGAAACGTTTTCATAACGTCTGAAACGTTTTCACTCTCCATACTTTCCAAATTTAATTTGGCGCGAAAAATTAGATAACATACATGGCTGCTGCTCCCGGATTGACTGATAGTTCTGGTGTTACGAAGAACTTCACTGCTCCCGGATTGACTGATAGTTCTGGTGTTACGAAGAACTTCACTTCAAAGTTGGTTATAAATTGCACACCTCAGGTATCAAAGCAGAAATTGTTGACTTCCCAACACGAAACTGATACTAAAGAAAATTTAAAAACACATATCTTTTAACTTGGCTTGGCTTATACCTCAAATGTATTTGTGTCCATCCTCAAATACCCTCGTTAGCTTTCTTCGTCTTCGAGCCTCATTTCTTGGACGAGGGCGTGATAAGCGCCTCTTTCGTTTCTTCTGGCAATCCAACTCTTTTGCCACATATTACGTTTCCTGTCTTTGCGTGCCTTTCTTCTTTTCACCACAACGTACCGGCAACCAAGATAGCAGCAGCCGCAAATTTCTTAGCTTCCTCGTCAGCCATTTAAACCCATTGATTTAAATCTCATTTTGGGAATTTGTTTATGGTTGAAACACCATTACGTTTCTTTACGCAGGCCACCTACCTCCCCCCTAAGCCCGTCAAAAAAATATCGGGTTGTCTGAACAGTCCACCAAAAATCGGGCCGTACGTAGTTTTGGTTTACATACAACTTTCAATTAATACAAAGAAATTTACCATACAAATTAGTGAAATTACAATAATAAACTACAAAATACTTATTAGAATTACAATTTGGAGAATACTATAAAAAAGACTACAAACTCTAATTCCCTTTTTTAAGCAATGCACGTGTGATACTCGCGCGCGTGCTGCGCTTACTTTGTTTACTGAAGCCTAGTTTCCATAAGGTTGTTATCTGTCGCTACGTGTCTTTCGGAGTCTTTGGAGTAATCTTGAAAGACCGATAACGACAAAGAAAAACCGAAAACGACAGTTCGTACATCGTCACTATACCAAAAACAAAAAGGAGGCCCTTAGCAAGGAGTTTCTTCTTCAACTAAATTTGTTTATGCTCATATAAGTTTTTTCTACGTAGTAAAATATTCCATACTTATTTGTTATAAATTTTAGATTCTTCTGTATGTCACCGGACCGCTTTGACCAGAATTTTGTCGTTTCTTGTCGTTATACGTCTTTGAGATAGGGGTTTTTTCTATCCCAACGACACTGTCGTTTTCGGTTTTTCTGTATCGGTATATTGGTCTTTCAAGGTTACTCCAAACGACAGGTAGCGAAAGACAACGACCTCACTATCGAAACTAGGCTTTAAGGCGGATTTCCAGACGGTGCAAAATGTCGCTTGATCGACTTTTTGCGATCGCTTTTCTTTGAAATATAACAACAAGATGCCTACTCAGGCGATCACGGATCACTCGGGCTACAGTTATCTCGTAGTGACATGGCATGTTCGTGACACCCGCGCGAGAAACGATCCTAGGACGATTTCAATTGGTTCGAAGAATTCGTGCCGCCCACGCGTGATTTTTGTAAACTCGCGACGCAAAAGAAAAAACCGAGCCCATTTTATAACTCCGTCTACCTACGGCAACCTCGCTACCTACGGTAGCCCGAGTAATAAGGCGGAACTAATCCATTAGATGAGCTTGACTTAACACATTCGAAAGAGAGCGATGAAAGTCTGGGCTGAAAATTTGCATTTTATCTTTTGTCTCATAAAACGTCTCATCCAGTTGGGCAAAATATAATCGACCAAAAATATCGGGAAAAAAAATTTGTTTGAAAAAAAAATTGTTTGTACAAGAGACAAGTCGTCGTAAGTCTCAACAAAAACATTTGACAACATTTTACGCGTTTTAAACTGATTGCAGCCACTAGGACTTTACATTTAGTAAATCAGTTTACAGTTGTCACTCTTCAGAGCATCATGCACTTCAAAATTTAGCACCTTCAGGTATTAAATCATTGACACTTACATCTAGTTTAGTAAGTTTACAGCTGTCACTCTTCAGAGCATCACTTAAATATTTAGCACCCTCAGCTGTTAGACCATTGCGACTTACATTTAATTTAGTAAGTTTACATTTGTCACTTTTCAGAGCATCACTTAAATATTTAGCACCTTCGGCTGTTAAAGCGTTGTCACTTACATCTCATTTAGTAAGTTTACAGTTGTCACTCTTCAGAGCATCACTTAAATATTCAGAACCTTGAGCTGTTAGTCCATTGCCGCTTACATCTAGTTTATTATGTTTACAGCTACCTCTCTTCAGAGCATCACTTAAATATTTTGCACCTTGAGCTGTTAAATTATTGCCACTTACATGCAGTTTATTACCACTGCCTCTTACATTTAGCTAAATTAGCTTGGTAAGTTTACAGGTGCCACTCTTTAGAGCATCACTTAAATATTTTGCACATTGAGCTGTTAAACCACTGCCTCTTACATTTAGCTTGGTAAATTTACAGGTGCCACTCTTCAGAGCATCACATAAATCGTTAGCAGCTTCAGCTGTTTAACGATTGCCACTCAAATATAGTTTAGTAAGTTCACGGTCGTTACTCTCATGATTTTCGTTCTTCAAAAACTTAACCAATTCACGGATAGCAATGTTCGTCAGAGTACAACCATTGATCTTATAAGCTGTTTCAAGTTATTGATGTGGCGTAAAAATTATTATAGTTCTTTATTATAGTTCAATTAAGAACTCACTAATTCAGTTGCTCGTCTGAACTCTCTCTGAAGGCCTCCAAACGTCGGATATATACAAATATACCGCTACATCATTTTTGGCAGTTCCGCTTTTGTTCTTTCTTGGCAGAACCTTGGAAAATGAGCCTAGGTATCAGATTAGAACGGATATGCGGGTCATCTAGCAGAGTTTTGTGTAATCCGACCCAAAATCGTCACAAAATCTTTTTTACGACGTAAATGCACGAGCAATGGCTTGATTGACAGCTCGAGATGCCCGCTGACCATACCATTGTTGACCATTTAATCCATAAAAATACACGATTATGAGTTAAATAAACTATTGTGGTAGTAATGGAATAAACAATTATATATGACTCAGAGATTATATACAGTCACGAATTTATATAGAGATTTGAACACGGGCTAAATTAACTTTGGAGTTCCGAATTGCCACATATTCCTCGTTTCGTTTATTTCTTAAAAAAATTATAATGATTAGAACCACTTTATAACCAACCTTAAATTCTCTTTTGCTTACCACCTCATCTAGGAATTGTTTTTTCAATTCCACCTGAAATGCGAGGGAAAACAAAAAAATGTTTTTGAACTTTGGAGAAGATGTCTAGAGATAATAATGGATTTTTACCATTGTTGGAGTAATAATAACTGATTATTGACCGACGGATATGTGTTTTACGACCAACCAATCAGAGTAGAGGATCTTGAAAAGCCATATTATTAATAAATCAAACTTGAGTAACCAGAAATCCAAGCGTATTTCTACTATCGGATGAAAGATATTCAAAAGATACTCGTTTCCCAATTTACTTTTGCGAATATTAAAACAGCATTAGCTAGGTGGTTAATTGAAACCACCTTTGAATCAAAAGCCAGTGGATATGGTAGTCCAGTTATGACGACAGTACGACCGTTGATATCACTAAAATCGACACCTTCGCTGACCTAAACGTCAAGAAACACACGAGTTTCTTGTAAAACATCCGAGGCTCGTATCAATTCTTTTTGAGATCTGTTATCAGGATTGTTTGTGTTTTCTAAACCTCATGAACACCATAACTCTTACCCATATATATTATATATAATATATATATATATATATATATATAAATATATATATATATATATATATATATATAATTATATATATATATAATTATATATATAATTATAAAAAATATATATTCTTAAAATAAGAAAATGCTCATAATGTTGTGTAATATGATTGAAATCCCATGCAAATGTAGTCTATCTATCTATCTGCGGCCAACGTTTTTGCAAATGGGTGTATATATATATAATTATATATATATATATATATATATATATATATATATGTACGGATAGCTAAACAATACCTTAGAATTCCTCAGCAATTATGGCCTGGCTAGAATACCTCAGAGGAGAAAAATTGAATAGTCCAATATTGTGATATATATATAACGAAGGAGCAGCATATGGCAGTGTTTCTAATGTCTTTGTTTGAAATGTAGGATATTATAAAGAGTTGAGTTATATTTTCAGATTGATACTAAATCGAGAGGGGTTAATGTAACAGTGCTTCTCCACAGCAGGGTTGGGACTGTTCCAAAGGGTATAAATTGTGCATCAAAGTCTGCCTATATCATTAAAATTATCACAAAGCTCTCTTTTTGGCCTTCAGATACATTTATCCATCCATATCTTGTTAGGGACAGTTTTTGGATTTAACACAATTTGATTTCATTGGATAAGACCTCTATCTATATATTGTTTGAATCAATTACATGCATTTACATGGTGAATTGATTGGAATTTACACTATCATAGGGAGGTAGAAAAGCAGTGTAGAATGGGTTGGAGGATGGGCATATTTGATAATAGTCTTAAAATAGTTTTCTTAAAGATGCCGGTATAGCAGGGGATAGCTAAAGAATAGCTTAAAATTCCCCACAGTAGCTAAATTATTATTTACTAGTATTTTTTGTTTGATGTACTCAATTCCTAACACGATTGCAAAGTTTTATTTTAAGTGTGAACTTAGGATTTACTTCACAATTTTTAAATTATTTACTCTCAACTTTATCTGATGATGTCTCATCTGATTTTAAGGACGACAAAAATCTTTTGCAATAATTGATCTGTACTGCAATAATTGATATTTAAAAACATGTCAAATAAGCACTGGACAAATACATAACCTTCAAAGCCTGAGTGCAATATTATATATGATCATTTCTCTGTATTTCTATATAATCATGTAGGACCTATAATTCTCATGTATTAATGTCTGCTGTGTATTCTATATTATGACTCATGAATATTTTAGTAAATTTACATTACATTCATACATGTAACAAATATCATGTCAGAGTTTCTAGGGTTTCTTGAGAATTAACTTATCTTATAATAAGAAAATATTTTCTTGGAAATATATCTTATATTAAGAAAAATATCTTAAGAAAATTTTTCTCATTATAAACATTCTATAAGAAATTTTGGACTAATTTCAAGAAAATTTTCTTAAACTGAAAAATTATTTGCGTGCAACTTTTCTTATTTTAAGAAAATTTTCTTATAATTCTCTCAAAAAAATTTGAACTCATTAAAATGAGTTTTTTTTTCTTGAAATATGAAAATGACTTTTTGCTGTTTACTTATACTAGAGGATTTTAATTAGAATCAAGGATTATATTTGTTGACTCTGGACATGAAAAATACCTGTTTCCACCAAATCTGACACATTTTTAGCAGATTAACTTACAGCTTTTAAACCTGACAAGCTGTCTTAAATGTCTGTGTTTAAAGACTTTGGTTTAATACAATGGAAAAATGCAGTAGACCCCATACTTTTCCTCGGCAAATGGCAAGAAACACAGGACCTTTGTTCTCTAGATTGTGAAATTTTTCAGAAAATTTTTCCATTGCCTAAGACCATAAAAACCTCAATATGCCTGTTCATTAACAATTATTTAGATGAACATAACCTTCAGATCAAATGACCTGTTTTTCGAATAACTCAAACCAGTTAACTATGATCATTGCATGTTGCATGAGAATTGCATTTAAGTTGGTTTGTTGATAAATAAAATCTATGAAATTCTGCAGAATGGATTTCTATTTAGACATCCCTTTCAGACTGCCATAATTCGAATTCACTGGTAATTAGTACTAAAGGCCATGTTACACGGTGCAATTTTTCTTGCAACTTGCAATGCAATTGCACTGCTAAGATATTTAAATTATTAGTCTTGCAGAAGAAAAGTGCGTGAAGTGTATGAAGACAAAAGTTTTGTTATTCCCAAATTTACATACATCTTTCAAAAGTAGAATTGCACTGCAAGTTGCAAGAAAAATTGCGCAGTGTAACAGGGCCTTAACATTGTGGTTACAGCGATTTGCAAGTCGCTTCATTATGGACAAAACCCCAACAAAGAAATGTTCACGTAGAACAAGATACCAAACATTAATTCTTGTGGTAGTTTTTTGAGTGTCTAGTTATTAAAAAGACGCAACAATTGGGTTGTACAATACAATATGTACAGCCGTATATACATTCCTGGTATATTAGCTATATATCGATCATCCCAATGATGCTTTAACATTATTTAAGTCTGTGATTGTTCATTCCAGGGTTTCACTGAGGAAGAAAGACAACTTCAACAGAATATTCGCAAATTACAAAACCAACTCGAAGCTAAAGAACAGGAACATCGTCAAAAGGAATGGAGACTTGTGGACAAACTGAAGGAAAGTGATGTCACAATACATACGTAAGCTTTATGAAATTCCTCAGGGGGAGGACGGGGGACAAGACCATGTATATTGAAATGGGTTCTTACCTAAATCAATCACATTATGCATTTCTGATTTCTGTACCAATGTATGTTCATTGACGGATCTGGCGTAAGTCGAAATGGATTATTTATTTCGATTGTGAACCTCCAAAGGTTCATTACTCGTGTCTCGTGTCTACGAGTAGCTTTTTTTGAAAATATTTTTTATCCTCAATATGTCCAAAATACAAATGTGAGCTGTTCTAATTTATTTTTACTAATCTAAGCTCTGCCACAGGGCATTTCTATTTCAAAACTTAGAATATATCCGCTTTTGAACCGAAAAACCATATTTAACCTATAATACCGGGCTGTTGGAACGCCTTATTATGACTTTCATGAATTCATCCGTTCAAGAATAGTGCTTTTGAACAAGTTGATGTTGAAATTCGACAACTTTTTAACAATTCGAGAGGAACGACTTGATTTTTTTATTACACAGGCTAAATCAATCAATCGCAAACTTAAAGAGCAACATGGACCAACAGAACCAGGAATATTCCAGATTAACTGTAGCAAAGGATGTTGAATTGGAAACGTTGCATCAACAGGATGCCAAGATGTGATCTGAACTCGTGCAGAGAAAAAATGATTTTGAGAGGTGCGAATAAACGTTGAATATAACTTTCTTTTCTCGATTGTTGTTAAATTCCGACCTATCGTAAAACGCTCCTCAATAATTGCATGCTCACCGTATGAGGTGATTTTTCACGGGGCTTAAACATATCTGATCAGATAAACCTGGTTATTATTTGAAGCCATTTAATCCATCCGTCTAAAACACCTCATTTGCTGGGCTGAAGTGCAAATATATGTGTTCATTAATATTATTATTTATTTAAAAGAATTCACAGTCTGTAATTGGCTAATAGCCATGTGTGAAATCGTCATATCCAACGTGTGACGTCATAACGTGTGATACGACTTTTTTAGTTTGATAAATAGTCGTATCCCACGTTTGACGTCACACGAATGGTGAAGACATCAACACAATGGCTTCCTCAAGTGAAAGGTTCGGCAACTTTGAGGAATACATGTTCATTCTTTTAAATAAATAATAAAACATATAATGAACTCGGTTTTCACACGATATGAAGAATTATCAAGTCTCAGTTTTGTCTTTATCAACCTCAGCCTTCGCTTCGGTTGATAATGACAAACTTCGGCTTGATAATTCTTCATATCATGTTCAACCTCATTCAATAATTGCTAATTGTACTACAGTGTAAATAAGGATTGATAACAAACGATATTTTAAGGTAAAGAAAAAGTGAAAAAGTTTGATCGAAAGTCGTAAAAAAAAACATACCCGCAATTTCGGATCCTATTTTTGTGTTGATATTACTAGTCGTTTATTGTATTGAAGATTTCTATTACAGATGTAAATTCAGGTCTTGATCCAACAATTTTTTTCTTTAGGAGGCAGAAAGAGTTGTCTTTATCTTTGGAGAGAGAGTCGTCGTTGGAACGTTCTAGGGCTCAGCTAGAGTTAGATTAGCAGCGCAGATGTGAAGAGACAGAGAGAACTGGGTATGATAAACAAGAAAAACTGGTTAAGAATTTAACACAAGGCGAAGAAGAGGTGAATATATATGAATATGTAAATAGTAAGTTATACCCCTTTCCATTGCCTCTACCCTACCCCCACTCAATTTGAAATCCCGTTGAAGTTTCAGCCCCACAAGGTCCATATGAAGTGATATAATGTTACTAAACTGATCATCAGGGACTTCAATGTCAACATTCAGGTTGATAGAACTCTTCTGTATTTTTTCACATCAGGCGTTATCGTTAGTGAAACAACAGAAACGTAAACTGCTTCACAAGGATAGTGTTATCCACATTTTGAAGACACAAAGAGATAATAATAATAATAATAATAATAATAGCATTTATTTACCCACGATAGGTCTGCACGCAGCTACAGCTGATGGGGTCGTGCCTAATTTATCCTCTAACTAATAATTTTACCTATAACAAGTAATAATAACATTATAAAATATAACTACGATTAATAAGAATCATATTTACACTCTAAAATAGCCCATTAAGTGCTCTTCAGATGCATCTTAAAGGCACCTATGTCTGTGATTAGTCTCGCTGAATTATTAAGAACGTTCCATTCTTTTATGGATTGGTATGCTATAGATTTCTTCATAAAATCAGTTTTTGGTTTAGGTAATGTTAATGACATTTTTCTTCTCAAATTATACTTAGACGAATACCTAACAAATAAATCGTTCATTGTAGGCGGTAAATAGCCATGGCAGTCCTTATGAGCCAAGACTAGGAGTTTCTGTATGTAAATATCGTTCAATGTACTCCATTTGCATTTCTCCAAAACTTCACTTGTAGGAGTGTACCAATCTAAATGATAAATTATCTTTGCTGCCCTTACATGCAATCTCTCTAAGCTCTGAAAAAGTGATTTACTACATGAACCCCAGATCAACAACCCATATGTAATGGAAGGCAGGATGACTTTATAATAAAAATCCACCTTAACTTGCTTAGGAAGAAAATGCAAAGACTTCAGCAAATTTAACTTTTGCGAAAACGATATAGTTATCTCTTCCAAATGTGCATCCCATTTAAGATTTTTATCTATAGTTACACCCAGGCATCTCTTTGTATGGACTTCCTTTATACATTCCGATCCGAGTAAAATTGCTTGTTTAGGACCAATAAGTGGTTTACGGCTAAGAACCATATATTCCGTCTTGCCAGTGTGTGGTGTTAATCTGTTTTTACAACACCATGAGATGAAAATAGAAGTGAGATGAATCAGTTTCTATCCTCAAGCTTCATGGACTAACCGTGCCTTCCCAAATATCAGGTGAGTTTTACACCTTGATTGTAGGTAGATTGTAAACGCCTAGCGTTCGGTTTTTATACGGCGTATATGGGGCCCTAGCTCCTCTGGCAGCTGGGGAGATTAACACAAATAGAGGAATTGATGTAAATTGAACAAAATTTTGTACAAGGTGTGACGAAGTGTAAAATCCTCGAAAAATTTTCGATGGTAATATCGATTCCATATTCAGTCTCTGTTATTCGCCGTAATAAAGTTGTTCAAAGTAGATTACAAGTCGAATCATGCTCCTCTCATAGTGCCTATACTTAAAAGCCAGCTGATATGCTTGACGAGGTAACTGTCGCAAGATGTCCAAAACACTTGACACATTCCAAAATTCTTTTGAGTTTTTTTTTTTAATTTAGGACCTACCTGTGCTCGCGAATCTGAAACCTCTACATCGATACCTCCCCCCATGGATTCGCAAAATTTTATCATTTCGCTAGATTTTATCATTCATGCATGTTTCTCAAATCTCAAGTGTGGTAAATGCATGACGTTTTCGTCCTTTTTTGCTTAAGTTCAGACTTATCTTTTCTTATTACAGTCCGAAGATGTTGGCACAGCAGCAGCGAATATGAATAATGAAGAACTTCAAGTTCAGAAACGAAAATTTGCGTCATGTTATTCATCAAATGGGAGAGGACATGGAGGATTTGACGAAACAGTTAAAGGTACCACTGGATCGATTACTAATGCATAAGATGACTAATCGTTATAGTGATCGTAACAAAGATCAGTGTGAATGGAATTAATCTGGTATTTCTTTACGAAACATTTCAGAATATGTGACAAGTCTGGAAAAATAAATTCGAGAAGTGAAGGCGAGAAACCGCGAACTGACCCAATCCATGGCGAATACAAATGCTAAAACTGAAAATACTAATTACGTTTTAGATTGAAGTAAGGATAATGTTCATATAAGAGGTCTGGTGGCACAGCTGAACAGCACAATCGGTAAGTAATACATAAAAAAGTTCAACCATACAACAGCAGTTCAAAAAGTTACAAAGCTTAAACATATAGCATCATTAAATTGAAACATTACCTCATCCCCCGCATACCCAGCAGTTTTATTGTGTTATCTGAATAGTTATAGTTGAACGTTTAACCTATGTCCTGAATAATTTCTGCGGGTTTTCACTCCGCGCGCGGGTAGCATAAAAAACAACCCCTACATACATTGCCTCGATCTGCTGATTTATTACACCGAGTTACATAACTGTTGACTATCTTATTGCAAATATTTCCGTTAAGTCAAATATTTGACTTTCAAGTTGTGTAATTCTGTAGGTCATTAAAAAAACACTAGCATGTTGATTAGCCCTGAGAATTTACCCGAGTGAAAATTTGAAAAAATGCCTGCCTGTATTTTTTTTGCAAGACACAACTGGAGTATCAAGGATTAAGGTTTTTTTAAGAGGTGATATTCCAATCGCATTGTACTATTGACCATGGTAACTTAAATTGTGGGAATCGCACGAAAGGCATTCTGTATTAACCGACTAGAATTTTAGATAAGGTATATAATATAATTGCCTATTTCACAATATATATTCTTGCACGTCTTTAGGTAGTTTACGCCAAGAGAAATTAGATCTTACATCTCAATTGGGAAAATGTAAAGCAATTATCGTTCATCTTCAATGTTTACTTCATCATTCTTCAGAAGAGGTGAGTCTTCTTCTCTAAATGGCTATAGGCTTCTGTTTTAATGCACTTGTATTTTTATCCGTCATCGCTGAGAATGTTTGTGATGTATGTTCTCGTATTTTTATTGTGTGTATTTATTAGCAGTAACATATGTCGTGCGGATAAATTTAGTCCATAGTGTGGGGCTGGTTTTCGAGTGCTACATTCCTGGATATTTTAGAAAGCTGTGTCAAGCATTGATGATCAATGACAAAAAATCGGTGCAGAGCTTTCCACCATTTGGCTTGTCTGACCATTCAGTGTTACTATTGCAGCCTAAACTAAGACCTGTGCTCACATCTAGCCGTCGCTTTGTTACTCGAAGAGACACTCGTTCAAGTCGAAGACAAGAACTTGGTAGATATCTGAGGTCTATTGACTGGTCCGTTCTCGCTTCTGTTAATGGATGCAAAAACAAACTAGCACTGTTTCTTGACCTTGTTAAAATTGGCGTAGACACTATCATGCCACTCAAATCTTTTAAATTACATGTCATGATCCTCCCTGGGTAACTCCTGAATTTAAAAAGCTCATCAAGTTACGCCAGAAAGCCTACACACAAGGAGTACAAGAACGATTCTGCCAACTTCGCAACGCCGTTAATCGTGAACGCAAAGTGCTCCGAAGCAGATATTACACCTCGAGAGATGCGAATCTCATGAATGTTAAGCCAAGTCAGTGGTGGAACGAGATCAAAAAGTTATCAGAAATGATCCCAGCAACGCCAACCGAGGATTTTCGCGCCCAACTTCATGTTGATGGACTTGATGGAAATCGAACAAGGATATTGCCGACCTCATAAACACTGCCCTACTAGAACCGATGCAGGATTATCAACCACTTGACAGTTTCCTCCTGTTGATAATGATTCGGAAGTTCTAACACTCGAAGACTCCTCAGTTTACTCAGCACCAGTAAGGCTTAACCCTCGAAAAGCCTCTGGCCCAGACGGCGTGCCGAACTGGCTCCTTAAAGATTATGCCGAGTTTCTCGCAAACCCAGTCTGTGTCATCCTCAATAGCTCATTTGCCGAACAAGCTCTCCCTCCATCATGGAAGTACGCAAATGTAACACCACTGCCAAAGACGAAACCTGTGACTGTAATCACCAAGCACATCAGACCTATCTCGTTAACTCCGTCTCTATCAAAGCTAGCTGAGGACTTTATCGTAAGATATTATATTGGCCCTGCCGTCCTCGAAATCATCGATCCCAAGCAATATGGCGCTATTCCAAAATCATCAACCACGCATGCTCTTATTTCCATGATTTATACATGGGCTTCTGCCACGGAATGGGACTGGTGCAGCGGTGAAGATCGTCTTGTTAGACTACAGGAAAGCATTTGATCTCATCGACCACCAGATCCTAGTTCAAAAGATCCTTTCCCTGAATGTTCCACGTGGTGTAGCTCGCTGGGTATGCGACTTTTTATCGAACAGGCTGCAACGTGTCAAAACTGTGCAACGACTGCTTCTCTGAATGGGGTGCAATTCCATCTGGTGTCCCACAGGGTACGAATTAGGGCCTTGGCTATTTCTTTTGATGATTAACGATCTCAAACCATCAGGGCACTCATGGAAATACGAAGACGACACGACATTAGCCAAAGTTGTCCCAAGAAATAGCTCAAGCCAAAATGCAGAGGCAGTGTCTGATGTAGAGAAATGGAGTAAAAACAACAAGCTCCAGTTGAACGCAGACAAGTGTAAGGAAATGATAGTTGACTTTAAGAAAGTGAAGCATCAGTTTAAGACCATCATCATCAATTCGAAAGAACTCGAGCTAGTGAGCAGTGCCAAGATATTGGGTGTCATGGTATCTAACTCACTGGAATGGATTGATCATGTCAACTATGTTGTGAAGAAAGCCAACAAACGTTTGTATTCCTTAATTTTGCTTAGGCGTTCAGGCATTCCTGCTGACTATACAGGTGTATCAAAAAAAAGTAGACAATTTTGAAATGTTTAGAAAACTATAAATTTATCAAAATATCTCATAGATTTGTGCTAGTATGGGTACTTTGGCATCTTCTGGTCATTCTAACACTAAAAACAAACAGAAAAATTAACCTCGAAAAATGGAAGAGCGGTTTGTGGAAGCATCATTTGGAATGGCTTGTGCAAACATGAATGAGAGGTTTAAAATCCAATTTGAATTCAAGGGCTGAACGTTTGGGTATTTGTTTACAAAGAATCGAAATTTCAGAAATTTTGATGAAAATTAAGTCAGCCGCGCAACTGCGTAAACGTGGGCTTTTTTCCGTTTAACTCGCAGCTTGAGTAACTTTTTCACAACACCATTGTTAGTTTAATCACCCGAGCAATCACTCATGCATGAAATCATTCCTGCATGAAAAAAGTTAGTATTGTTAGTATTTGTATGTCTGTATATATATATATATATATATATATATATATATATATATATATTTATATATATATATATATATATTGAACATGATTTGCTCCATATGATATATGTATATATATAGGCAAAAATGTTCTCCGTGTTTACTATACTCACCCTTGAGGGGCATATTCAAACCTAAGAATGTAAATTTGTCCCTTTCCCTCACCAGCTCACTCGTTAAGAGTGAGGGACAAATTTACATTCTTAGGTTTGAATATGCCCGTCAAGGGTGAGTATAGTAAACACGGAGAACATTTTTGCCTATATATATATATATATAATATATATATTATAATATATATATATATATATATATATATATATATACAGTTAATTATTATATATTTTGTAAATTTTTGCGCAATTCAGCTATTTTGGGCTGCGATGTAAAAATTTTATTAAACAATCTATCTATCTATCTTATATCTCAACGCAATTTCTTTTTTCAGGTTCGTCAGAAGCAACTAAACATATCAACTTCACTATCAGTTGACAACAGGGAATCGTCGGGCCAACGAAGAAATGGATGCTTTGAAGCAGCAGAACTCTGATGTCAAGCTGCAGGTAACCCAAAAAAGACACCAGGCTGACGAATTTTACAAAACGGGTTTGGAGAGAAATATTGATGCTGTATCATTGGGAAACCAGGTTAGTTCAATGATATTGTTAAAGATGAGGTAAAGTCCGTTCTGCGCATAAATTCCGCGCATCAACACATTCCATCAGTGGGGGAGCAACTTTTGGAATGTTAATGATATGCGATATTAACGCGTTGTATTACAAACGGCAGTTCGGGAGCAAAATTATTTTATTTCATGTCGCAAGGCGAAGAGGCTCGAATTGCTCGATAATCGAACGATAACTTATCTTATCATAAAGCTGCTAGAAAAAGCAATATTATGCTGAAAGGAATGCTCCAAGAATTTATTTGTTGAATAAGGCCCGAAATGGCGAGGCTATTTGTTGTCGCTACAGACGCCACCTTCTCGCTTGTCCTACAATTACAAATATATAACGTTTTAAATAACGGCCGGTTTATTTACAAGCTTCGCTTTATATTTTCTTCAAAATATAACAATATTTTCTTCAAAATATAATAAAAATAAGCATATTCATCACAGATCACAGCCCGTCGAGCGAGAAGAAAATAATAAAATTATAACGACGCAACGTCATGTAAAGATTATATAACCAACGTAAACAAACATTGTTATGCGCAGAATATATGCTCAGAACGGACTTTACATCATCTTTAAATAACTAGATCGCAGATGCAAAATGGATATAATAAAGACATTCTTTAGGTATATAACATTAAAACAAATTAAACGTGTAAATGTATCACAGTCTGAAGCTTAACGGTGAACCCACTTCCAATTGTACTTTACCGTGTTGTTGGTTAATGCAAGACCGAACGAAATTTATATGTGCTTTTAAAACCGCAAGCAGTTAAGAGAGGGTTTGATTAGTTATCAGCCGGAGGGCAGGAATGTCAGTAACATCCTGGGTGATTCACTGAGCAACAAAGCGAGCAGCTATAATGCTGAACCTAAGATATCACTTGTGACAGCCATATGCTGGACCGGAAACTATCGAAATAATAAAAATAGGTACGCTAAGCGTACAAGTATCTGCGAAGTGGTATCATGATATAATGTCCTTGTCACATATTAGATGTATGGCCGATGGCCCAATTCGCTAGCAAGGCACCACAAATGTTTTAAGTAAGTGAGATCATGCTATAAAATACTTATATAATCTTTCTTCTATGTTTGTCTGTGGTTTTATAAGGTTCTCGTAGCATACAAACGTCAAAAACAAAACATTTTTCTGAGTTTCGAAGGATTGCCTCATTAGTCATTACGCATTCTGCGCCACGCGCGGCAGTCGCGTGTGGCCGAATCTCTGTACGATTCCTGATCGTGAACACGCATCTTGTTAGCCAATCTGCCAATCAGCGTTCGGAATTCTATATGACTGTGGCTATACTATAAAAGCTGATTTCGCACGTGCTGGTGTTTTGTAGCAAACTTTTATAGCAAGGCAATATTTACAACTGAACAAGTGCACAATAAACCGATACGACATACAAATAGATATGCAAATGGATTCCACCAGAACCAAAAAGGACAAAGGCCAATCAGGTATCGATTATAAATAAACATAACTTATCTGAATTTATAGAATGGCATTCGATGCAATGTGTTTTTATGTATGCATCAACAAATGAAATCGGCAAGTAATTGTCTCAAACTCAATTGTATTTAGCTTATCCGCTTGTGCAGATAAAATTAATAATGTATTTTCTATTGCAGACGACCTTGAGGGGTATGTGCACTTATTAAGCAAAGTAACCGCTTCAAAAAATTCCAAAGTAACGTTTTTTGACTGTCATATCCAAACTGGCGAGAACACTAAAGTGCGTGCTGTATGCTACTCGCCAGAGAAACGCATAAACATTCAACAAGCGTATCAGAATAAATCGCCGGTAAAAATTTCTGGTGTTAAGGCATCTGTTACCAAACGATTCCATGCTGGATTGGATGAATATACCATAACAAAGAAAGCAAAGGTTATGCCATCCTCGCCTAAGTTTGAGTACAACGAAGCATTGTCAAGTAACCTGTGTACCGTCAAAGCAGCATTGTCGAAAGATTTGTATGAAGTGGTGGATTTGAAAGTTAAAGTCATCAAAAAACAGGAAACAAAACAGTTTATTGTGAAAAATGAAAAAACAAGGTCCAAATCAGAGTGCTTGGTTGCCGATCAAACCGAGTCTATAAAGCTTGTTGTATGGGAGAACCACATTGATGGAATACATGCAGGAAAGAGTTATCATTTCAGAAATCTAAAGGTGCGGATTTTTGATGATGAAAAATATTTAAATACCAATGAATCCACGGAGTATAGCGAAATTGAAAACGTAGGAGGTATTAATTTCGATGCGCCCCAAATAAAAGAAAATCTCCTGACTGGTCGGTGTGTTGCTATACAATTGAATCGCACATCGTGTTGTCTTATTTGCAATAAGGGCTTTAACCTACCAATAGCAGCTGTGCCTGAGGACATGGTTA